CGACATCTTAGAGGATAACATGTTTGCTAGATTACAGATATAGCTTTTGATATACACCCACATGACAACCGACATCATAGAGGATAACATGTTTGCTAGATTACAGATATAGCTTTTGATATACACCCACATGACAACCGACATCATAGAGGATAACATGTTTGCTAGATTACAGATATAGCGTTTGATATACGCCCACATGGTGACCGACATCATAGAGGATAGCAAGCTGGACAATATAGATATAGCTTTTAATATACGCCCACATGACGACCAACATCATAGAGGATAACATGGGTGCTAGATTACAGATATAGCTTTTGATATACGCCCACATGGCGACCGACTTCATAGAGGAACACATGTTTGCCAAATTATAGCCATATAGCTTTTGATATACGCCTACATGACAACCGACATCATATAGGAAAATATGTTTGACAAATTATAGATATAGCTTTTGGAATACGCCCACATGGTAACCGACATCATAGAGGGAAAGGAAACATGTTTGCAATATTACAGATACAGCTTTTGATATACACCCACATGGCGACCGACATCATAGAGGAAAACATGTGTGCTAGATTACAGATATAGCTTTTGATATACACCCACATGGCGATTAACATCATAGAAAAAAATCCCCTGTTGCCTTGGTATGTAATGTGCTATAAAAGATAATAGTATAAGTGCTTGCTACCGTGGGTTTAAACTATCTTGACGGGCAATCTAATTCAAACGTTGACGAGTGCATCTACTTCAAGTATTTTAGCAGGAACATGTAATATAATAAAAACAAATTACTCAAATATTTAACAAAGTTTCTATTTAACCAAAGAACCCCGTTTCAATTTAACAGGAAGAAATAGAATTGCGCACTTCATTTGATAAACATATACTTATATTCCTAATCTCTCTACAAAATTTCAGATCTGAAATGAGAAGTCAAGGTTGCTGGATGGAAGCAATGGGTAAAAAAAGAATCTTTTCTTTTCTTGTTTT